GAAGCTGTCTGGGCCTGGGCTCTTGTATGCTGGGAGATTCTTAATTACATCTTCAATTTCTTCTGTTCTTATTGTTCTGTTCAAGTTTTCTAACTCTTCCTGGTCCAGTTTTGGGAGACTATGTGTTTCTAGAAATTTGTCCATTTCTCTTAGATTGTCGAATTTGTTGCCACATAGTTGTTCACAGTAGTTGTTAACGATCTTTTGTATTTCTGTGGTGTCAGTAGTTACTTCTCCTCTCTCATTTCTGATTGTTTGTATTTGGGTTCTCTCTTTTTGTTTTTTTGGTGAGTCAAGCTAAGTGTCCATCAATCTTGTTTATTTTTTCAAAAAAACAGGTGTTCATTTCATTGATCCTTTAAATTCTTTTTTTGGTCTCTATGTCATTTATTTCTGGTCTGATCTATACTATTTTCTTCCTTCTACTTTCTCTGGGGTTTTCTTTTTGTTTGGTTTCTAGTTGTTTACGTTGTAATGTTAGATAGTCAATTAGAGATTTTTCTTTTTCTTTTCTTTTTTTTTTTTTTTTTTTTTGAGGTAGGCCTGTAGTGCTATGAACTTCCCTCTCAGAACTGCTTTTGCTGCATCCCATAGATTTTGTCTTGTTTTGTGTTCATTTTCATTGGTTTCTAGGAAGCTTTTAATTTCTTCCTTGATTTCCTCAGTAACTTATTTGTTGTTGAATAACATGCTATATAGCATCCATGTGTTCCAGTGTTTTTTTCATGTTCTTGTTGCAACTGATTTCCATTTTCATGCCATTGTGATCTGAGAAGATGCTTGATATGATTTAATCTTCTTGAACTTGTAGAGACTTAGACAGTGTCCTAACATGTGACATTTTTGAGAATGTCACATGTGCACTTGAGAAGAATGTGAATTCTGCAGTATTAGGGTGTAATTCTCTGTAGATATCTATTAAATTTATTTGATCTAGTGCTCTATTAAGAGTCTCTTTTTCCTTGTTAATTTTTTGTCTAGAAGATCTATCAAGTGAAGTCAGCAGGGTGTTGAAGTCCCCTGCTATGATTGTATTGTTGTCAATTTCTCCTTTGAAGTCTTCCAGAAGATTTTAATATATTTTGGTGCTCGTATATTGGGTGCATATATGTTTATCAATGCTATAACTTCCTGTTGGATAGATCCTTTCAATATTATGTAGTGGCCTATTTGTCTCTAGTTATGGCCTTCATTTTGAAATCTATTTTTATCAGATATGAATATTGCTACCCCAGCTTTTTTTCCTTTCCATTTGCTTGGAAGATTTTTTTCCATCCCTTCACTTTCAGCCTATGTAAGTCTTTTGTTGTGAGGTCGGTCTCTTGTAGACAACATATAGATGAGTCATGCTTTCTTATCCAATAAGCTACTCAGTTTCTTTTTATGGGAGAATTCAATCCATTTACATTTAAGATGGTTATTTATATGTACTTATTTATTGCCATTTTTGTTTAGTGTGGTTCTATTTTTCTTCCTATTTCTCCTGCTAATTCCAGCAGTTTTTTGTTTTTTGTTTTTTGTTTTTAACATTTCTAGCAGTGCTGGTTTGGTGCAAATGTATTCCCTTAGCCTTTTTTTTAACCTGGGAATCTCTTTATTTGACCTTATATTTTGAATGATAGCCTTGCTGGGTAGAGTAGTCATGTATTCAGATCATTGTTTTTCATGACTTTGATTACCTCATGCCATTCCCTTCTGGCCTGTAGTGTTTCTTGTGAGAAGTCAGCTGAGAGCCTTATGAGGTTTCCTTTGTAGGTAACCTGTTGCTTCTCTCTTGCTGCTTTTAGGATTCTCTCTTTGTCTTTAATTTGTGGCATTTTAATTACTATATGTCTTGGTGTGGGCCTGTTTGGGTTCTTCTTACTTGGGGCTCTCTGTGGTTCTTAAATTTGAATGCCTTCTTCCTTCACCAAATTAGGAATGTTTTGTGTCACTATTTCTTAAAATATATTCTCGAACCCTTGCTCATTTTCTTCTTCTTTGGGGACTCCTATGATGTCAATATTTTTACCATTCCATTTGTCCCATAGTTCTCTTAAGCTGTCTTCCTGTTTTTTAATTGTTTTTTTTCCTATTGGTTTTTTGATTGGTTGATTTTTTCTACCCTGTCTTCTAATTCACTGATCCGGTCCACAGATTCCTCTACTCTGCTGTTTTGACCTTCCAATGTGTTCTTTATGTGATTTTTTATTTTTTCTTGGTGGTTTATAATTTCCAACTGGTTAATTTTCAACATTTTTATGTCTTTACTCATGGTTCTCATGTCCTTACACATGCTGTTGAGCTTTCTCAAGATCATGGGTCTGAATTCTAGTTCTGTTAACTTGTTTAACTGCACATCACTTATCTTATCTTTGGTAGAGGTCTCTTGTTCTTTCATTTGGTTGGCATTTGTTTCACTGTTTTGGCTATTACAGTGGGCTTTGGAGCCTGCCAAATTTTCCCTGTGGGTGTTGGTGTTCTACTGTTTTTGGCACCCTCTACTGTGTTTGGATTAGGGTGGGAGGACTCACGTTAAACACCACTGTCAAGTCTTACCTTCCTGGGCAGAGTTGCAAGCCCAGGAATGGTTCAGATTATTTCTAGCTTTTTGCCTGGAGGCTCTGATTTGCAGTTACTTGTAGATCCTTAGCCTCTCAGTTGAATGAAAAACTCCCTCAGTTGTTCAGTGTAAGGGGATTTCCCAATTGTGGGACAGATGCTGGTTGTTAATGAGCTTCAATTTGCAATTTAATGGCCACCAAGTGATTTTGAATCTCTGAGGGAGGGGCCACTGCCTCTCCCCAGAGCCCTGGGAAGAAGTCAGATGACCACTCTCCTGCATGGCCACAACTCAGCAAAAGCTCCGAGTGTCCTCCAAAACCCAGGTGTCCCCACACAGTTCCCTTCCAGTCTTCACTCCCTCTGCCGGAGCCCAAGGTGAATGTGGCTATTTTAGCGTCTGTCCTGGCTCTGCGCTGTGGAACTGCTTGGGATTTTAACCCAAGGGTGCTGCTCACAGCTAAGGCTGCTGCTGACCGTGGGTGCCCAGGCCCCCTCTCACACCTCTGCAATCCTACCAGGATTGAGGCCCTGGTTATAATGTCCTCCAAGCTGCTTTTCTGTTGCTTTTTCCTGACGATTTGTCTTCATTTTTGTTGTAATTCCAATTTGGTCTTGGGAGATGGTCTTTGTAGCTTCCATTCACTCCACCACCATTTTGGAATCTCTCAATATTGCCATCCATTCTAAATGACAGCTTTGCAGGATAGAGTAATCTTTGTTGTAGGTTCTTGCTTTTCATCACTCTGAATATTTCTTGCCACTCCCTTCTGGCTGGCAAAATTTCCTTTGATAAATCAGCTGACAGTCTAATGGGAACTCCCTTGTAGGTAACTAACTGCTTTTCTCTTGCTGCTCTTAAGATTCTCTCTTTGTCTTGAACCTTTTGTATTTTGATGATGATGTGTCTTGGTGTGGGCCTCTTGGGGTTCATCTTGTTTGGGACTCTCTGTGCTTCCTGGAAGTGATATCTGTTTCCTTCACCAAGTTAGGGACAATTTATGCCATTATTGTTTCAAATAAGTTTTCGATTTCTTGTTCTCTCTCTTCTCCTTCTGACACCTCTAAGATGCGAATGTTGGCACACTTGAAGTTGTTCCAGAGGCTCCTTACACTATCCTCATTTTTTTTGGATTTTTTTTTTTTTTTTCTGTTCGAATTGGGTGTTTTTTTCTTCCTTATATTCTAAATCGATGGTTTGCTTCTTGGTTTTACTCACTCAACTATTGAATCTCAGTAAATTATTCTTTATTTCAGTTAGTGCCTTCTTCATTTTTGACTGTGAATCCTTCATTTCTGACTGGTCCTTTTTTATGCTCTTGAGGCCCTCACTAAGTTCACTGATGTTCTCACTAAGTGCATTGAGCATCCCTATAAGCAGTATTTTGAACTCAGCATCTGTTAGGTTGTTTATCTCCATTTCGCTTAGTTATTTTTCTGGGGTTTTGTTCTGTTCTTTCATTTGGGACTTGTTTCTTTGTCTCATTTTGGTTGCCTCCCTGTGTTTGTTTCTATGTATTACTTAAAAAGAGGTATTGGGCTAGCTGAGACCAGATGCTTCTTGTTTGAAAGTATTTATGAAAACCTAAAGCAGGATCCAAGATAGTCCAATCCTATTGTTAACCAACTGGCAACAGCTTGGGTGGGCCTGAAAGTTGGGTGGGTCAGGGCCTCAGGTTGGGCAAACAGTGTGAGCCAGGTTGCTGGAGTCCCAGATATGGTGGCTGTCTACTGCCCCAGGGAAGGGCTCACTAAAGGAAGAAAGGCCTCTGACAGGACATCTGTCCGGAATAAAGCCCCCTCTCCAGTCCTCGCTCCAATGCCAAACAGCTTAGTTTTTCTCTATATGTCTCTGGTGCCCCTCGAGCTGCCTCCTCTCCAATCTTAGAGGGAGTGAGTCCAATAAGTCCATATGCGGGCCCTTTAAGAGGAGCTTCCTGGAGCTCCAGCCTCCTCAGCCTCCCTGAGCCTCAGTTCTCACTGGTTTTTCCAGCCAGAAATTATGGGGACTTCTCTTCCTGGCCTTGAAACTGTGATCGGTGCACCTGGTGTGAACAGGGACCCCTCAGTCCTCTGGGAGGACCTTCTCAGCCAAGGAATCAAGGAATCCAATCAGCTTCCCTATGTCTTTGGATTGGAGCATTTAAGCCATTTACATTTAAAGTAAATATTGATGGATAAGTATTAGTTTCTGTTTTAATTTTATGCCTGTGTTCTTCTCTGTCTCTCTCTTCCTCTGTTTCTTCTTCTTCTTACAACAGTCCCTTCAGCATTTCTTGCAGTGCTGGTTTGGTGGTGGTAAATTCCTTGAGTTTTTTTTTTTTTTTTTTATCCATGAAGCTCTTTATTTCTTTTTCAATTTTGAATGATAGCCTTACTGGATAGAGTAGCCTTGGATTCAGACACTTGCCTTGCATCACTTTGTACACTTCATGCCATTCCCTTCTGGCCTGCATTGTAAAAATATCGAACACTTCACAAGTCTGCATGTTATCCTTGCACAAGGGCCATGCTAATTTTCTCTGCATCGTTCCAATTTTAGTATATGTGCTGCCGAAGCAAGCACTAAAATTATTTTTTTAAATTATAAGCCACCTATTTTCATTTATAAAAAAATGAGATAAACACAAGGAAGAAAAAAAGTACTCAGAATTCCACCATTCACAAATATTTAATATAACAATTTTGTCATATTCATTGGACTGACTTCTACGTTTTTCCATAAAATGGAAAATAAAGATCACAAATCTATTTTGTAATCTGCTCTTCTCCCTTAGTGATCATCTTTCTGTGTGGATAATCTTGATCCTTATCAGCATTTGGGCCTCTTTAGAGTGGGTCTTACCATCTTCATCCCTGGACCATCATCTGTGTCCCATAAAACTTAAGAAAGAGGCAATCACCCTAATTTCCCTATATGTGATGAAAGTCACCAACTTCTCCAAAATACACCACTTGGAAAATTAATCCTGCTACAGAAATATATTGCCTGATGATAATTACAGTTCATTCTGTAGTATGAAGTTGAATACCTCAATGAGTAGTTAGCCATCAAGGATGTGTTTGGTTCACATAAAGATATACTTTTCCTTTCCCCACTTTACATGTCTTTTGATTGTTAATATAATAAACATATACCAGGAGTAATTAATAGAGAAAAAAACTTGTGAAATTGAATAAATAATCAGAATAACTTTTTCCAATTTACAATGTACAAAAGAAAATACTTCATCGATTTCAAAGGAATCATCCATGGTCAGTTGAGACCTTATTTGTCTCTTATATTGACCAGAAGCAGTAAATTGATATGATTTTAAAATAAAGTAAAAAATACAACTAGTGATTTGACACTTTTCCACCACCTGATGCAATTTACCTAAGTTGTATCAAATGCATACATATAAATGCCCATATCTAAGACAACAGTTAAAAAAAAAGAAAACACAGAAACAATGTTGCTAGTTATCATTATGGCAATATGTGACACTTACTTTGAACATTCTTCCAAGGCTTGACAGAGTGTCTGTTGAAACGTGCATACTTCCTCAAAGTTTCCCAATAAAGATGTAAACTCCACAGTACTCAGGCTGAAAAATATATATATATATGTGTGTGTGTATATATATATATATATATATATATATATATATATATAGTCAGTGAATAGAACTTGAGGATGACTCTAGTTATCTCTCTCTAGTCCAGTGAGTTGGTAATTTGCTAAAAAGTAGCAAATGAGACAAGGAAAGCAATCTGTATATTTGCTTTTTAATTTATGCCAACTCTGGTTTTAAGCAACTTTGTAAATCTTCTTTCTGTGATTTTCTTTTTCTATAATAAGAATGATAATCTGAAAGAAAACAAGTGTTTATAAGGTATTATATGAGTTTATCAGGTATTTTATAAAACAATGCATAAATGAAGAACAAGTGTTTAATATCTAAGTATCTACAGAGAACAGATTGGTGGTTACCACAGATGGAAGATAGGGGTGGACAAAATGGGTGAAAGGAGTCAAAAAGCATAAGATAAATAAGTCATGGAAGTGTAATGCACAGCATGATGTTTGAAAGTTGCTACAAGAATGGATCTTAGAAGTTCTTATCACAAGAAAAAAGTTTCTGTGACTATGTAGGGTTATGGCTGTTAACTAGACTTATTGTGGTAATCATTTCACAGAATATACATATATCAATCAAAGCATCACACTGTATACCTGCAACTAATACAGTGTTATAAGTCAGTTATACCTCAATTTTAAAAAAAATTTAGCAGTTAAACAAGTAAAATACATCTCAGGTGGGGATAAATGTAAAAACTTGACCACTCTATTCTAAAGGCGCTGGGAAAGTAATTGAAAGGCATTTTATATGCTCACATGATACACAGGGGAAAATAGAAAAATCAAGTTTCTCCTCAATTAAAATGCACATAAATCAACTAGAAGAAATCTTTATGAGGGGAAGTAGGAGGAAAAAATGGTAATAATTTGTTTGTTTTTGGATTGGAAAAGAGTCAGACAAAAGCAAAGTGAACAATTTTATCTGGGGCCTCTATATTAAGAATGTTCTCATTCATTTTTTTCCCTATCAAAACAGAAACAGACTCATAGATACAGAGAACAGACTGATGGTTGCCAAAAAGAAGGGCGGGTTGGAGACTGGGTGAAAAAGATGAAGGGATTGAGAAGTACAAATTGGTAGTTATAGAATAATCACAAGGAATGTGAAGTACAGCATAGGAAATATAGTCAATAATATTGTAATAACTATGTATGGTGCATACTAGACATATTAGGGGGAACACTTTGTAAAATACATGATTGTCTAACCACTATGCTGTATACCTGAAAGTAATACAAAATAATTGTGGATTTAAAATGTAATTCAAAAAAAAAAAAATAGTAGTAGGTGATAATAACAAGAGCTAACAACACTCCTATAGCACTTAACACTTATGTAAACATTTTACAAATAATAACTCATTTGAACCTTACAATAATTTAAGATGTAAGTACTATTATTTCTATTTCATTTGTAAGGAAACACAGGCACTGAGAGGTTACCCAAATCACCAAGCCATTGAATAGTGAAGCCAGAATTTGAAGCAAATCATTCTACCTCCAGAGTCCACACTTTTAACGACTTTTGGGGAGAAAACTTTGCTGAAGATTTACTTAAAGGCTAGTGTCTGCCACATGCCCTTTCTCCTTAAAATAATAATACTGGGTGAATGTTTTCAGGAGAGTAATTTTTGCTGATAAAAAAGGGAATATCCCAAGAAACATTACAAATAACCCCTAAAATATAAAAAGCTCCTAGTTCCTCTAATGTCCTCCTGAACCACAAGCTGGAAAACCCCTGTCATGGTTGTCAAAAGTGAAACTTTCAGCCAGCTTCACTGGCTGTTGCTCTCTCACAGCTCCAAGTTTCTGACCTGGGGTTTATTTGGCCCCTTCAGTATCAGACAATAAACACTCTGATTTCTCAAATCACTTTGAGGTCACAGATAGAACCAATGGAAACTTACTACAGCCACATTTTGAATTTATTTGGAAACAGTGCAATTCTGACTCAGGTCTCTCAACTACTCTGCCCTGGGTCTATTTTCTGTTCCTTACTTCCTACTGTTTTTTTTCTTTGTGGCAAAATAAAAGTTACACTGCTTTATTAAGTCTCTTTTACACTTGCAATCCAGATTTGGCAAACAATAAGGGATCATTTATATTGCTATGTCTTTGGCTATGTTCTAAATATGTGCATATTATTTTGAAATTTATCTTTATTGTGGAAAGTATTGGAGATGTCCCTCCTCTATTCCCTCATTGACCCTACTTCACCACTCCCGGCCACCACCCTGCCTTCATTACACTATTGTCTGTGTCCATTGGTTACAAATATATGCATGTAAGATTTTTTAGTTTATCTCTTCCAACCCCACCATTCCCTCTAAGGTTCATTAATCTGTTCCCTACTTTTGTGTCTCTGGGTCTATTTTCTTGCTCAGCACATTTTGTTTGTTAGATTCCACATATCAGTAAAATCATGTGATACTTGTCTGTATCTGACTGACTCATTTCACTTAGCATAATATTTCCAGATTCCTCCATGCTGTCACAAAGGGTAGGAGATCCTATTTACAGCAGCATATTATTCCATTGTGTAAATGTACTATCATTTTTTTACCCACTCATCTACTGACGGACACTTGAAATGTTTGCAGATCTTAGTAATTGTAAATTGCACTGCTATAAACATAGGGGTATATGAATTATTTCAGATTATTGTTTTGGGATTCTTAGCATAGAATCCTAGAAGTGAAATTATTGGGTCAAATGGCAGTTCCATTTTTAATTTTTTGAGAAAACTCCATACTGTTTTCTATAGTGGTTTCAATAGTCTGCATTAACACCAGCAGTGTACTAGGGTACCCTTTTTTCAACATCCTCGTCAGCACTTGTCATTTGTTGATTTGTTGATGCTAGCTATTCTGGCATGTGTGGTGATACCTCATAGTCCTTTAAATTTGCATCTCTCTGATATTAGTGATTTTTTATTTATTTTATTTATTTTTTTATTTTTGTTACAGATGTTTCTCCTTTTTTACGCATTGACACCCTCCTCCCCATCCCCCCCCCCGCCCCATCCCTGGCTTTGTTGTCCATGTCCATTGGTTATGCATACATGCATATAAATTCTGTGGTTTATCTCTTCCCACCCCCCACCACCCCCTCTTCTGAGGGTTGTCAGTCTATACCCTACTTCTGTGTTTCTGGGTCTACCCTATTTCTCAGACTGTTATATTCATTATATTCCATATATAAGTGAGATCATGTGGTATTTGTCTTTTTCTGCTTGGTTTGTTTCACTTAGAATAATACTTTTCAGGTCCCTCCATGTCATCTCAAAGGATAAGAGATCTTTCTTTCTTACAGCTGCATAGTATTCCATTGTGTATATGTACCACACCTTTTTTATCCATTCGTCTACTGATGGACACTTGGGCTGTTTCCAGATCGAAGCTATTGTAAATAGCACTGCTATGAACATGGGGGTACATATATTCTTTCTGATTGGTGTTTCAGGCTTCTTAGGGTATATTCCTAGAAGCGATATCACTGGGTCATATTAGTGATGTTGAACATTTTTTCATATGTCCCTTGGCCATTTGTATGTCCTCTTTGGAGAAGTGTCTATTCAGATCCTCTGCCCATTTTTAAATTGGGTTCCTTATCATCCTTTTGTTGAGTTGTATGAGTACTTTATATATTTTGGAAATTGCCCCTTATCAGGTGTATCACTTGCAAATATGTCTTCCGATGCAGTGGGATCCCTTTTCATTTGATGCTGTTTCTTTCGATATGCAGAAGCTTTTAGTTTTGTGTAGTCCCATTTGTATATTTTTGTCTGTTTCTCCTCCCTAAGCAGTGTATCAGTGAAAATTCAGCTATGTGAAATGTCTGATATTGTGCTGCCTATGCTTTCTTTCAGGATTTTTATGCTTTGACAACATACATTTAAGACTTTCATCAATTTTGAATTTATTCTTGTGTATGTTGTAAGTTGG